TCCACGTATTCCCCATTTCCACCAAACCTCCACACACCCCACGCCCGTCGACATCACACCGCTCCATCCTTTCCCAGCATGGGATTTCAGCACACTCAGTTTCTCGCTTCGCCAGTGCAAGTGTATGGATGCGTCACTTGTCGCACTCATCTCGCCACGAACGAGAACCTGATCAGCAAGGTGGGTGAACCTGCACTGCACTGCTCTGCTCTGCTCTCGCGGGCTCGTCTGTCGATCAGGCTCCGAACGTGCACGCGCTGACGTTGCCCACCTGGCCCTTGCTCTACACAGAACTTCAACGGATCGACAGGCAGAGCTTTCCTGTTCGAAGAGGTGGTCAATGTGGAATGTGGAGAGGCCGTAGATCGTCACATGACGACTGGACTTCACAATGTGAGGGATATCTTCTGCATCAGGTGCAACGCTTCGTTGGGATGGCGATACGTGAGTGCCACCTCGTCTGCGAGGAAAGGATGCGCAGTGCAGCTCATCGTGGCGCAACGCAAAAGCTGAACATGTTTTTGATTCGCTGCACGCATCGCAGGAAAAATCGTTTGTGCAAGCTGAAAAGTACAAGGAGGGCAAATTCATCCTCGAGGTGCGTCGCTATCGCACCCCCAGTCTGCCTGGCAGCGTACTGCTCACTTCCACCTCCTTTACTTTTTCCCCAGAGGGCGCGCATAGCCGACGTAGAATAGAGGGGCGATCCATTCACAATCCGACGATATGATCACCTCTTGACCCTGGGGCCAGAACGACCTGGTCCTGGGGGCTTCACCCTTCCACCTGCATTGTCTCACATGGCGTACGATAAGCATCCACCCCTCTCACTCGGAAGGCTTTGGTATCAAGGGCGCGTATCGAAAAGGCGCATGTCGCTCACGAAGGAACAGCAGCAGAAGCGGGGGCAGGGTCGAAACACGGAATCCTAGGTCATTCCATGGCTTGGCCTTGCAAGGCGCGCTTGGCGTCCCATTGTGACGTATCAAGCGCGACGAGCACGCCACGCCACCGCTCTGCAACATCAGCACCCTCTCCGTCACCACTCTATCCTTACCTGGACTATCTGATGGCCTGATATCGCACACCCCTCTACACTCGGCTCAGCTTTCAAAGGGGCGACGTTGTGCCTACGAGTCATGACAACCAGCACACCTTTGACACATCATATCGCTCCCCATTTTGCCCATCGCTCCTATACAGCACGACGTAACGAGCTCAGGATGCATGGGCTCGTTGAAAGTTGCCCCCCCTCCTTCCCCCCGCCTTTCTGCTCGCGCAAGCCTCGACGGACCTTCGATGCGTCAGGCGCAATGTATCCCCAGAGATTAGCAAATCTCAAAAACACTCGACAGATGTGGCAAGGACATCGACCCAGGTACTCTAGTTCCTTCTCTGACATTCCTGCCTTTCTTACTCTTCACCACGACCCTTTCGACACGCCTTCTTCACTGTACAATTAGGCAAATCATAAGCTACGACCCGGTCGACAATATTGCGCATCAGAATTGAACGTCTCTTCCCAGGCAGATTTGTAATGATGCACAGTCTGCAGTCGTGGAGATGAAGAGTGCAGCGTACGAAACGATCTGTTCTCGAGAGCATGTGCGTTGACAGTCAGTTCGCTTCGGGATTCGGAAAGTGGATGGCGGAGGTGAGGGGTTGGGGGGGGGCACCTCTCTGCTCGTGATTCAGAAAGAGTCATCATCACCGCTGCTTTCGGAAGCCGAGTCGACGTCTATAAACTCGCCATCACTGCCTTTGGATCTGACCAGGGCGGCCTTGGCATAATTGGAAGCGCTGGTGCTGGCACCAGCAGCAGCAGCAGCATGTTTGGACTGCCATTTGGGATCCTGCATGGGCGCATCGCTATCGCTCTCGCTGCTATCGTAGGAGCGCGACCGTGCGCTCTTTGGAGCGCTAGGCTTGACGGAGCGCAGCATTGCACCTTTTTCCTCCTCATCGTACTCGCTCGCGACGCCCTCTTCCGACTGACTCTGGCTGGGCGAGCGCCCATCGCGATCGGAATAGAGCGATTCCGCGGCTCGTCTGACTTTGGCAGAATTGTTGCCGTTGGCGAGCTGCAAAGCTGGTGCGCTCTTGTTGCCTGCCAGAGGCTCGTCATCGTCATCATCATCGTCGTCGTCGCCGTTGGCCTGTTCTATAGCGCTGTCCTCGTCCGCGTCCGCATAGCCCTCATTGACGCTGAGATTACGAGTAGTGTCCGCTGCGTTGGTTGCAGATTTGCTCGTGCCACGAGAGAGAAGAGAATGGGAAGATCCAACAGACGCCTGATGAGAAGAAGATTCAGGCAAACTAGCAGAATCCTTCTTGGCAGCTTTGAGCTTACCGCTCGCAGCCTTGCCATGCAAAGAGCCCTTGGCAAATGCTCCATCAGCG